TTCAGCAGGGATTCGAGCAACACTGAGTAATGGAGGTATGTAACTTTGTTTTTTTTCCTTCTGTCAGCTTATGTTATGGTTCTACATCAATTGTGGTATAAGTGTTGTGTTATGGAGTGGCTTGCTTGTGATTATGTTATATGCCATTTGCATACCTCGGATAATTGGTTGGTAGTTAGGGGATGTGCTCTTATGGAGAAGGTTTCGGAGGATGCAGTAACTGTAGCATGGTTGGGAGAGATTTGGTTTGTTTCGCTAGTTCGGAGTGGTTAGTGTTTGGGATGGATTGGTTAAATTCCTACCTGGCGGGCTTGGGTTCCCCAGTAGATGTTTTGGAATGGTAGTAAAGGTCAGGATCTCTTTTGAATGTGAAGCAGCAAGGGGTAAGCAGGATCGAAGTGGGGGAGAACCCTCCGGGTATACATGGATAAGAGTCACGTAGACCCAGAATGAGTGCACGGCCTCTGAGAAGAAGTGGTAGTAGCACAGTGATGGATGGATTGAGAAGTTCAGAATTGGGAGTTCGAGAACTTTTCCCAGCAGTTAGTTCATGTAATGGAGAGGGTTAGAAGCTGGTTGGGAATCCAGGATTTGAGGACCACCTGTAAAGGCTCAAGTGAGTCGGAATGAGGATCCGGAGAAACGGTTAGCAGGAGATGTCTTCGTATTAGTAGCCAGTGGCAGAGCCAGCATGCAGGATTATGTGGATTCAGGAGTTGGGAATTTGGAAACTTCCCAACAATAGCTTCTTATATCTGGATTAGTAGACGGTTGGTTCGGGAACCAAGCCGAAGAGTTCCTCAACGAAGCGCTGAGCATTCAAGGATATAGGATGTCGAGGATGATGCAGTAATTCAAAGACTGAGAGCTGGTTTTGAGAAATCAGGATGAGGATTCACGAGCGGGACTAGGGATAGTCAGGATGTCCTCGGGATAGTAGTAGTAGTGTTGTAAGTCTGCGGGGGTAGCCGTAGCATTCACTAGCAGTCAGATAGTAGTAGAGTGTTGTAAGTCTGCGGGGGTAGCCGTAGCATTCACTAGTAGTCAGATAGTAGTAGTAGTGTTGTAAGTCTGCGGGGGGTAGCCGTAGCGTTCATTAGCAGCCAGATAGTATTTGAGAGTTGTGAGTCCGCGGGTGTAGCCGTGGCTTTTATCAGATTGGTAGCAGCATGAGCGCGTTGTTGAACGCGGGAACGTAGTAATTCCCACCCGTTCGGGTGCAGCAGTGGGAATATGGGAATCCACGGGTTAGATTCGGATTTCCCAAATGGTTCAGTTATGGCTAAGTCAGCAAATTTTGGCTATAGATCGTCACATCAGTTATGAGATCAGAGTAGCAGTGGACCGTTGGGGTTCGGGTATGTTAAGGGCTACCGTCAGTCTGGGAACCATCATGTTGTTAGCCATGGAATGGATGATGTCAGGATGTGATGTATGGACCCGATCGGTTGGATCGGAAGGTTGTTAGAGCCACAGCGACAGGATAACTAGTGGAAACTAGTTCCAGAGAAAGATTTCGTTCAGAAGTCGTGGAAGCGACTAAGTGAGGAGTCCTTAATTCCGCGTTTGAGTCGGAATTCAGTGTTTCAGTCAGTTCAGTGTCTCAGGCAGTTTAGAGTTTCAGGCATGATCAGTATTAGTATTTGCGTTGGAATGCAAGTGCTGGCGGTATAGTTGGTTGATTTGGAAATGGCAAGTCTCTCTCAGCAGGATCAGTTGAGCCTTCGGCCGAGTATAAGTGATATGTAAGGATAGCTAGGCAGGTAGCTTTTCTTCAGGATGAAAGGTTCGAGTTAGTAGGAGTTGAGTAATCAGGGAGAGATAAGCAAGCTGGTTCCAGCAGCATCGATTCAGTATGGATGGCAGAATGGATAGAACAGTTATAGACAGTCGAGGTATCTTCCGGAGTCGCTGGGAGCGGCTAGGAGATTGCGATGGAGTGTAGTGACCGGTGGGAGTTCGGTAACTCAGATATTGGCAGAATAGTTGAACAAGGGTAGTCTCAGTGCATCCAGTAGGCAGATGAGAGGCAACAGGATTTTCAGTCGGAGGAAGTAACATTGAGGAAATTATGGAAAAGAAAAGGATTCAATATGTACCAATGGTAGTGATCGGCATTGTGAATGGCTGGAGTGAAGGACAAAAAGGGTGTTAGATTTCCCAGACAAAGAGTTGGAGGCAGTTTGCAGGCAGTTGGTCATAGCAAACTTCGAGGATGAAGTTTAGTTTAAGTGGGGTAGAGTTGTAACACCCCAAAGTTTGGAAAGCCAAGAAAAGAAAGAAAAACCTCAAGTTTAAGGGGAGACTCGGCGAGTCCATGGAGGGACTCGGCGAGTCCGAGCGGGATCCGGGTTGTGGTGTAAGCGACCGACTCGGCGAGTCGGCCAAGGAGACTCGACGAGTTGGGTCTGAGCGAGGAAAAACCCTAAATCCGGGATTTGGAGCCTATTTAAGCGTCTCATTCTCTTTCCTAGGGTTCCTTTACTGCCTCTCTACCCCAGAACACCAAACCCTAGCCGCCATATCCGTTTTTGAGCTAGATCTTGCCTTGTAGAGTGCACTAAAGCTTGGAGAAGGAAGAAAAGCCTTGGAGGTGCAAGAAGGGACTGTAGATCCGAGATTGAGAAGACATTTCAGACCAGTTGGAGGTAATAAGTTGTTGCTTGGACTCCCTTTGCACCTAGATCTATTCTTATATGTGAGTTTTGGTCATTGTTGGTATGATATGTAACCAATCCGAGTTGGAGGTTCAGATCTGAGGTTGCTACCTCAGATCCATGTTTTTTTGGTCTTGAATCCCCTAAAGTATCAGCCCTTGGTATGTTGAAGAAGTATGTTTGCCATAAACCCTAGTTTAGGGTGTTTTGAGCCTAGATCTCTTAATCTACACGTAAAGTTTGCCACTTTACGTGGGGGATAGTCCCTAGAAGTATGGATCTATGAGTTGGAAACTCTGTTTGGCTCGAAAAGCCACTGCATGGATTGAGGACTGGATAGACTCGGCGAGTAGCTTGAAGATGAGGAGGAACTCGACGAGTAGGATGAACAACTCGTCGAGTCGGATGAAGTTAGGCATGGACTCGGCGAGTTGGATGAGCAACTCGACGAGTTGGTTGAAGATTGTCTAGGACTCGGCGAGTCTGTTCTTGGACTCGGCGAGTCAGATCGCGAAACCCTAAACCCTTCGAGTTGGGGCTCGAATCAGTGAGTCGGGTGGTGACTCAGCGAGTTGGACAGGACAGGACTTGGAACTAGTTAGACTCGGCGAGTCGAGTCGCGAATAAGAAAGACCCAGAGCATATGAACTCGGCGAGTCAGTAGGTAGACTCGGCGAGTAGGGTTGACCCGGAAGGTTGACTTTGACCAGGATTTTGACCTTGACCAGAATTGACCTAGTGACCTTTGGAGGTCAGTTGGACTAAGTGTTATATTGATATTGGTAGCTCGAGGAGCTAGTGGAGCAGCAGTCGAAGTCAGAGGTCAGGTAGCAGTCAAAAGGATTAGCAGCAGCAGTTCAGCAGCATCAGGTGAGTTTCCTTCCAGTAGGGACGGGTCTAAGGCCACAATGCCGGCCCGTTCAGTTAGCAGTAGTTTCCGGACTTCGATCCGATGCAGTAGTTAGTATGTTTGATGCCTTCGTGGCTCAGACAGGATTTATGTGTTATGTGTTCCAGGCTACGGCCCGATGTAGTATGCAGTATATGTGTTCATGCTAGTTGATATGTTATGCTATGCTATGTTCAGTCAGCTTCCGGACTTCGGTCCGATGTAGGGGGCAAGGCCCCAGTTAGTCCGGACTTCGGTCCGATGCAGGGGACAAGGTCCCAGTCAGTTTCCGGACTTCGGTCCGATGTAGGGGGCAAGGCCCCAGTTAGTCCGGACTTCGGTCCGATGCAGGGGACAAGGTCCCAGTCAGTTTCCGGACTTCGGTCCGATGTAGGGGGCAAGGCCCCAGTTAGTCCGGACATCGGTCCGATGCAGTGGGCAAGGCCCAGTATGTGCTTTATATGTTATTGCATGGTATGTGTTAGATTAGGGGAGCTCACTAAGCTTCGTGCTTACGGTTTTCAGTTTTGGTTTCAGGTACTCAGTTTTCAAAAATGGAGCTCGGGAAGATTGCAGTGCACACACCATAGTCAGATAGCCTGGGAACGTTCGACTCTGATAATGATATTATGTTTTGAATTAATACTCGAGAATTTATGTTATGACTTATGATACAGTTTTTCTAAATATGATTTTAGTAATGTTTTTAAAGAAATTTTTGGGTTGTCTTTTTGGGTCGTTTCACAGAGATAGATCGCTTATTAGCCTAAATGATCTAAATGATAGTCATAGTAGTCATTAAACGGAGAGCGTACATATAGAGAATGTCTAAATTTGACTTAATATGAGAAAGTTATGATTTTGTTAAGATTCAACACATCAGTGTGCAACAAAGATATCGAAATTTAGAACGGTCAGTTGTTAGGAAAAACAATCGACACGAGAGTTGAAGATCTCGTCCATGCCTATCCGTCAATATAAAGACAGTCGAAAACAGATATAGTATAAGAGACTTATGATTTTACGCGGACTTTAACCGTCTATGCCTGTAAAAATATAACTCTAAAAATAAATTTAAAATTAGTCAAGTACAGAGTCTAAATAAAAGTTATAGATCTCATCGATAGTTATGCAGGGATATAAAACTTGTCGAAGACAGAGCTCATATGAGCAAGTTATGAATTTTTTTAAGCAGTCATAAAAATTCACGCGCGAGCAGCACATACCTGACACACCACTCAGATCGTAACATGTGGCACCATAAGATAGTAACATGTCACCCCTTATGACCAAATGCATGGTGTGCACCTGATCTATGCGCAACATGCATTTCAAAAAGTCTTATAAATAGCCCCGTTTCGTATATGCCGCTCATATCTTGCCCTTACAACCCCTCTCTCTCTCTCTCTCTTAGTTCTACCTCTTGTAGCCCATTTTCCTTAGTTTTTTGGTAGTCAGCGAAGCCCTGCGACCCCTTGAGTACCTGAGTTGTAGTAGCCACCGAGTAAAAGTTCTGCATATACATATTCAATACTTTTAGTCAGGAAAACTCTATAAGTATCCCTACACTTACTAGGCTTCAATGCAAATTATGGTTATCATCATAAGTCGTTAATATGAACATGTAATTAAGATTTATCAGTGATTCCAAGTCACAATGTTGATTGATCTATTTACGGGAGTGGTGTCTAGGTTAGATTTAGTGAGGTGTTTAAAGTGGAATTTCCACTACAAGAAAAACGCGATTTTGCTAGGGAAGGTCGCTATGGAACGTATTTTCGTTGTTAATCTGCAATGGATCGTGATATGGAATGTCGTTCCATAGCAATTTTGCTACCACATTGTCAACGAATTTTATTTCTGGTAGCGAGAATGGGACTTGCTAGGGAAAATGCTACTGACTCCATATCCGTTGGTATTATGCTACCGATAGTTCTATGGAACAAAAATTCGCAGCAATTTTCCGACGACATTTGTTACGAAAAAACTTTCCGTTGTACTGTTGCTATGGAATTAATTATCGTGGTTACTAGGCAACGGAGTTTGTGAAGGAAACCAAATCCATAGTTGATTTGATATGTAAGTATCATTTGTAGGCATTTTGCTAGGGAATTCTGCTATGAAATATGATTTCGTTTGCTTGTTTTCCTATGGAACAAAACGCGTAGCTAATTTGTGACGACATTTGTTGGGATGTTGTATGTTTAATTAATTTTCTTATTCTATTGATGAATTATTATTATGATCAATGGAATTTGTAAGATATGGTTTGAATAAAATGTTTTTGAATTGGTAATATGTGGCATAAACTAATAGCAAAAAATGTAAAAATGAATTAGAAAAGTAGATATTGCTAGAAAGCGGACTCGAATGTAAGCTTATGCTAGAAAAGGACACAGTTAAGCCAGTTGTGTTAATCAAGTTTTGTATAATTTCTTGAAAAACATAGTATAAAATGACTAATTAACCATATAATTTTATTAGAACGCAGGCCCAATTTTTTCTAGGGCCTGTGCGGTTGCACCTCTTGCACACCTTTAAAACCGGACATGTTAAAGTATATAGTCTATGTAGATTATTTTCCTTAATAACAAATTCATTATAAACTTATTTTTAATTCCATTAACTATACTTCATCACAAAAATAACATGGATTTTATGTATATTTCTTCCTACTCAAACAACATAGCAAGCAAAAATGACTAAAATACCCTTTTAACATAATTACGTAAACATAAAACCAAAACAAAATTATAGTAGTATACAACTTCATATACAATAAAATATGAACACTAATATTCAATGTCCAATCTATTATCAACCATTTATATTTTAAAGAAATATACAAAACCTACCATACTCTACATACCAACGACAAACCATGCAATATTTTTGTCGATCCTCATCCTTTTCATGGCCTATTGCAAATGCACATTTAACAGAATGATGGGGGTATTCACATTGGAATGTGATGTTATTTGTTGTAAGTCTATGAACAACATCAATAGCCCGCAACAACTCTTTGACACTATCAACAACACTCGTATACTCCCCATCATCTGGAACTACCTAGCAAAAATAGGCATCAAGTAATTGTAAACCTACACATAAAAATATCCATCAACTAATCCAATGTATCCTTTTCAATACCACAGTAAATATTATACAACACAACACAACTAAATAATAACCCCAAACTACAAACATGCCTTGATTAACTATATATATATATATATATATATATATATATATATATATATATATATATATATATATATATATATATATATATATAATTTACATATATACCATATATACATACCTTCATCACATTGATGAGGCCCTCTTGAAATGTAGATCATTCCAAGCAAATAAATTGCCTCAAGATGATCTTCATCTACTGCTTGTCTCAACAAAGTCAATCCTAAATCAAAATTGTCATAATAAAAGCACTCCTATTGTTGACAGAGTAACAATATCAATATATAACATTAATGACACTAAATATTAATAAATGGTATAAATTATATATAATTACTGAAACTACACATACAATTCCTTATCTGAACATGGCTTCAATGTTATTATGCAATGCACATGTGCGTATAAATAAATCAGCTTTCAGATTTTTGGGACCCATTCCTTCAAACATATCAATGCATGTTGTTCTGTACACTTGAGGATCATCCCCCGCTTCATACATCTTCTTTGAACTTCAAACATTTAAATACACGGTAAATAACAAATAAATAAAGTTATATATCATCAAATATACATTCATTAGTTGATGTTTATTAAGTTTACCAAAGTCTTGCAGAAACGATGTTTTTCGCATACTTTACCCCTAATACTACAAATATCCGACTCAAAATCTCTAGTGGGAGATCATCTAACAAACAACGACTTCTAGTATTCAACATTCTACTTACAAAATACACATTGGAGTAGTTGATTTCATTTTTTTTTAAATTAAGCGTAACTATGAAAGACAGTGGAATAGGGTATGGAAAAAAAAAAACTTACTTTATGATGATCTGGTCCGGCGGAGGACAAGAGTCTATTATCGAATAAAATCGTTTTTAAGAACGATTATCCTTCGACGATTTGGGGGTTTTAGTATTTGTATGCAAATTTATCGTCCGGAAAAGTTGAGATTTTCTGAATGGTTGAAGAACTAAAACGCCGGTCCGACGTTAGAGATATCATGGCGCATTACCGATTTAGAGTGCAAAAAGACCAAATTGCCCTTGAAATCATTCCAAATATGTGAATACTAAGGGTATTTGTGTCAAAACACATTATTCAAATATTATAACCTTTTATAGCTTGGTAACAGTGAACTTTTGATTGTTGATTTGAAAAAGACAAAAATAACATATATATCATAATCCATAATGTAATACATTTATATTAACATTTCACCAAATTACTAGTATATATTCATGTATTAATATATATATTAAAAGTGGAACAAGATTTTAACAGTAAACTTTGTTACTCTAGATTTTAGATACAATAGTTTTTTTTTGTTGCCACTTTTAGTCTGTATGTTTATAGTAACTTTTTTTACTTTAATGTTAGCCACAATAGTTTTTCTTTGTTGCCACTTTTAGTCCCTATGTTTATGCCTTTACAATTTTATCCCATGCACAACATGGGTTCTCCACTAGTTGATATTAAACCAAATTACCAAATCTAAAATAAAATACATGTATGTTTATGCCTTTACCATTATATTTTATACGTATTTAATACTAGGAAAGAATAAACATTTGCTACATACAACTATAATCACAATACAATATAAACACTAATATTGAAAGTCCAAAACACATTATTCAAACATCCTTCCAAACTTTTACTCTTTTAGTCCCTTATTAACAACACAACATATTTACTAATCAAGTAATTACTTATCAAGTTAATTACTATATATTTGTATATTAAACCAAAAGAATGTACATAGCATTAATTGTCATAATATTAAAGCACATATAAACAAACTACTCATAAATTATACCAAACTCCCTAGAAAACCTAACAAAACAAGCATCCCACAAACAAATTTCACACCTAAACACCCAATTGTATCCATTCACAAAAGCATCTGATACACTAATTACAGACTTATGCATTACACAAGTTCTATGGAAGCCATGGAGGTGTACATGTTTCTTCCCTTCCCTATTTAAGTTGAGATGAACTTTAGAACAAGTTGCTCTAATATTCCACTTACCTTTTGCTTTGTGGTAAGAATTGTTCAACATGTCCAAAGCTTCTTGCTTCCTATGTCTCCCTTCAACCATCACCATCATTCCCAAGACAAATGTTGAATCCAAATGTCTCAATGTAGATGCTTCTTCAAACATCATTTTCCTTCATGATTAGCTTCTAAGAAAAATAACTTCATCTGAAAAAAAACATTAAACTCATAACTTCTAGTTAAAGTAATGCAAAACAAGAAACAAATTAATTAATACTATGCATATATATATATATATATATATATATATATATATATATATATATATATATATATTTAACAATGTACCAATCCATTCCTGAACAGACTATTTGGGTTTCTCATCTCTATGCATTTGTTGACAACTGTATGTTTTTGGTCAGACCAACCACGAAATCGTAATCCATCTACGTCCATATGTTTATATACTTCATCCCTTTTTCCTGCCTCGTTAAACGATTTACAACTGCAAACGACACATAACATCCACCCCAAAATGTAAAGACAACTCAAATACACTTGTGAAATAGAATGATCGAAAACAAAACTTACACACTCTTCATCCTAAAAGCATCAACTGCTGAAATTTTTCCTAAGTCGACTATTATTTTCTCCATCACTTCCAATGGCATGTCTGTTAGCGATTTCCTTTGATTTCTTGATTGCATCTTCGAAGAAGTACTGACTTCCATAATAATAAACCTTCACTAAGATAAAGATTCTGCGAAAATGATTTTAGGGTTTTTTGATTGTCGGAATTTTGAAATTGGGGTTGTTTGCAAGTGACTGAAATAAGAGTGAAGAACTGAAACAATGTGTTTCGTCGGAAAACATTATGGCGCCTAGAAGATGTTCCACTATAAAATGACCAAATTGTCCTCATAGATACAATGACTCATATTTAGTTATTAAGGGTAGTTTTGTCAAAAGTCATAATTAAAAGAAAATTCAATTTCTGAGGAAAGGGCTTAATAGACTAGAAATGCAAAGGACTCAGCGAGTTCATAGAGGAACTCGACGAGTTTGGTCGAACATTCCTGATTTTGTTCATGGAACTCGGCGAGTCCACAAGGGAACTCGACAAGTTATACTAGGAAGTTTCGTTTTTGTTGAGAAGGCAGAACTCTGCGAGTTGGAGGAAAACGCGACGAGTTAGATTGCGATTTCACGATTCTGTGATTCATAAGAATTCGACGAGTTGAAGGGTAAACTCAACGAGTTTAGTCAATTCGGAGCGTTGACTTTAACTTTGACTTTGACTTTGACTTTGACTTGACCAGAGTTGACCTTAAGGTTTATGAGTATGGAATGGTATCTAAGGGGTTATTTTGGTTCAACGAGTGAGTCACTTATTCCGGGTAGAGACATTTCAGCTATCATTCGACAGTGAGGTGAGTTCCCTAGACCAAGGTCTAGAAATTACATTGGCGGAACTTCGAGCTGATAGCTATTAGAGTTCGGGATCCTAAGGACCTCTAAACTTGCCAAAATGCGCTAAAATCTAAGAAGAATTTGGACCAAAAGAAGTAAAATTGATATATATATATATATATATAGGGAGAGAGAGAGAGAGACAGACAGACAGAGAGAGAGATAGAGTTTTCGATTTGTATGGAAAGAGTGAACATTGAGCAACTATTTATAAGTTGGAACTTCTGGATGCACGCCGCACAAGGGCCATACATGTTGCGCACATGGTCAATGTTCTTGCCCAGGTGTGGTGACACGTGTCGGGATCAAGCTGGTTCTACGTGGCGGCTTCTAGAAGGTCATGTGTGAGGCGTAAACGTGTGCAACGGAATTCAAACTTTCAAATTATATAACTTCTTCATACGAGCTATGTTTTTGACATTCTTTATATCTACACGTACCTATCAACGAGATCTACAACTTTCATTTAGACTCCATCTGCTAAGACCTAGTTCATTACCATGGGGAGCTTATGTACTGTTTGTAAAGAAAAAAGATAGTACAATGTGAATGTGTATTGACTATCGAGAGCTAAACCAAGCCACGATAAAGAATCGATACCCATTACCTAGGATAGATGACTTGCTAGATCAATTGGAAGGAGCAACCGTCTTCTCGAAAATTGATCTCAGGTTAGGCTATCACCAATTAGAGATAAGGGAGCAAGACATTGAAAAGATAGCCTTTAGAACAAGGTATGGACACTATGAATTCCTTGTTATGTCCTTTAGACTAACAAATGCTCCAACGGTATTCATGGATCTGCTGCATTGATTTTGTAACTTTTTCTTGATAAATCAGTAATAGTGTTTATTGATGATATTTTGATTTACTCCAATAACAATCAAAATCATGGCAAACAACTCCGAGAAGTACTATAAGTCCTAAAGAAGGAGAATCTTTACACAAAGTTCTCCAAGTGTGACTTTTGGATATAAGAGATACAATTCTTGGGTCATTGTTGGATTAGTGTCTAAGTCCATAACTATTTTGGTATGTACTTGACCCGATGGTGCATGGTCCTTTTGGGTTGCCTTCACCAAAGCAACTTGATAGGATGAATTATGGAGAGAGAAGATTAATTATGATTTATTAATATATTATGAGAATAATATATTAAAGGAGAAATTATATTGTTTAATTAATATTAGTCAAGAATTAAAGGAGAAATTATATTGTTTAATTAATATTAGTCAAGAATTAATTGATAATTAATTTTGTGGCTAAAAGAGATTAATTAAACTTAAGGGACTAGAACTGTAATTATAAGATAATTGCATTTGGGTTATGGATTACCTTGGAATAATAGGTTGGACGAATTCTATGGGGAAACCCATTAGAAATCGTCCAAGGGTTATTCTAAAAGGGTCCATGGGCTGCTTAGGGCTTAAGCAGTCAAATTAAGGTTTCCTAGTTGAAAACCCTAATAGCCTACATGTATATATAGTACCCTTAAGCCCCAAAAATGGGGATAAGAGTTCCACTAGGGTTTCTGGACGTTTTGGGCAACCTCCTCTCTCCTTATTCTTCATCCTCCTGCTCTTGATGTTTGTAAGCCATTAGAGGAGTGACACTTGTGACTCTAAGCTTTCTAAAGTCATTACAAGGAGGATTTGAGATTGTTGTTGCTACATAATAATCAAAGGTAACTCTCTAAACCCTAATTTCAGTTTATAATATGTTAGATCTAAGATTGTAAGTCTTGGATACATTGCATGTATAATAGAGAAACCTAGATCCAAGCATTAGGGTTTGCATGAGCACATAGGATGTTCTTATGGTTAAAACCCATCAATATTGTTAACCGGGAAGGCATTATGGTTGACCTAGCAATGATAGAAGTCGTTATGAAATGGGAAAAGCCAAAGAGTCCAACAAAATTTTGTAGTTTCATAGGATTGGCAGGCTACTACCGAAGGTTCATCCAAAATTTCTATTCTATCATGGCTCCATTGACAACCCTGGCCAAAAAGGGAGTTGTCTATACTTCAAGCGAGAAGCAAGAAAAAGCTTTTGGTGAACTGAAGAAGAAGTTGTGCGAAGCACTAATCCTCGTCCTACCAGAAGGAACTGATAAATTTGCGGTTTTCAATGATGTTTCTAAGATTGGATTGGGATTTTTCGTTACCCAAAGAGACAAGGTAGTAGCTTACGGCTCGAGACAATTGAAGCCCCACGAGCAGAATTATGCGACTCGTGATCTAGAGCTTGCGGCAGTGGTTTTTGCCCTAAATATTTGGAGGCACAATCTTTATGGAACCAAATGCAAACTCTGTACGGATGATAAAAACCTTCAATATCTCTTCAGTCAGAAAGAATTGAGCATGAGACAAAGGCGATTGATTGAGCTACTCAAGGAATACGATTGCGAGATCCTTTACCACCCATGTATAGTGAATATCATATTCAATGCCTTAAGTAGAAAAGTGATTCCAGAAGGTAAGAGAGCTAGATAATTGAAGATTAAGGTGAGGTCAATGACTGTGGAAAATATCAAAGAAACACAGACAAGGGCTCTGCCAGAAGGTGATAAGAAAGAAGAACATATATGCAAGACATTTGCATTTGAAGAAGATAAGCAAGGGTTAAAGACGTTTAAGAAACGCATTTGGGTACCAAAATTGGGTGGTATAAAAGATCTTCTTATGGAAGAATCTTATAAAACCATGCATTCTATACACCTAGGAATTACCACAATGTACTTAGACTTAAAACCCTATTACTAGTGGCTAACAATGAAGTTCAACATGGCAACTTACGTAGCAGAATGCTTAGCTTGTGCAAGATTAAAGGCACAACATCAAAAATCATGAGAGAATTTGGAACCCTTATCAGTACCTATAGGGAAGTGGGATGTTGTTCACATGGACTTTATAACTAAGTTGCCAAAGACAAAGAGAGGTCACGACATAATCTGGGTTGTAGTAGACCGATTTACGAAGAGTGCGCATTTCATAGTCACACAAGAGAATTAGTCTATGGATATATTGGCAGAGACCTACATAAAGGAAACCCTTTAGGATTTATGGAGTATCCTTATCTATCGTGTCAGATAGGGACAGTCGATTCACTTCCAGATTTTAAAAGAGTTTGCAAGAAGAATTAGGCACAAAGTTGTGTTTGAGTACTGCCCATCATATACAAATGGATGAACAGAGTGAAAGAACTATCCAAAGTTTAGAGGATATTTTGTGGGCATGTGCATTAGATATAATTCACTAGTCTTTGGGATGCTCACTTACCATTAGCAGAATTTACCTAAAGCAATAGTTATCATTCCAACATCAAGATGCTTCCTTATGAAGCACTATATGAAAGGAAGTGCCATACGCCATCATGTTGGTTGGAAGCAGTAGAGAAACACTTTGCAGGTACTAATATAGTACATCAAACCATAGAGAAGTTGAAAGTGTTCAAGGAAAGGATGCTAGCTACTCAAAGTTGTCAAAATAAAGCTATGCGGACAAGAAGCGATGACCGATAACATTTGATGTGGGTGATAAAGTGTTACATAAATTCTCACCATGGAAGGGACTTATTGGATTTGGGAAGCATGGAAAGTTGAGTCCTCATTTTATAGGACCATTCAAGGTACTTTAAATG